GTGGCAGGGCATCAGAGGCGTGTTCACAGTATCATAACACGCTATCATCATGTGATTCATCCCAGCAACCGCTTGTGTCGGGTGCCACCGTGCAAATTACAGGTCACCGGCTGGAGAGGGGATGAATAATTAACAGGCCTGTGACGGGCTCCCTGGCGGAGGCGGCGCTGACGACGCTGGCTGTCAGCCTGCGTCTTACACTGGGCCAGGCTGACATAAATCACAGCTCCAGTTTTAATTCGACCGCGCGGGCCAGACCGTCTGCCGGCCACATAACCGTCAGCCCTGCAGAGAGAGGATTGTTTTACAGATTCATCTCCAAACAGAGAGGCTCATAGCAGACGTAAATCTCCCAGCGTCGCCGTCAGGGCCAGAGGAAGCTAAGTGGGAGTTTTGACTGAGGCACGATGCGGGAGGATCCGCAATGAACTAATGGTAACACATAAATAAAGTTTATTTGTCTGTTAAACCATTATACAGGTCCCCTTCCAGCAGGAGGCAGCCATCACTGACACCAAAAGTCACTCCTGCTCGAACAAAGTGACACGACAACACATAAACTACTGCACCCTCAGACGGAGAATTGGCACTGAATAGAAGAAAGGACTGCGTCAGTATTCTGAAAATGAACTTAATCTGTACTTTGACCAGCAAATACAGCATAAATGCTTTATGCCGTTTTGTGGAGGCTTTTATCAAAATTGCCAAAATCTGGAAACCCAAATTGAATTTGGCTTCTTCTCACAACAAAAATAGTGAATTTGCGACCAAAAGGAAGCTCCACATTTGTCTTCTGTTGCTGCCAGGTGCACAGACTGGCCATCATTCACCAAGTCCTCTCAATACGATGCACTCGGCAGTTGGTCCGCAGTCAGGTTCTGGTATTAAGATTTGGGCTTTATCTCCAGAAAGTTGCACAAATTGCAATAATCACACAGTGGATTGTATCTTAAATTGTGATTGATTGAATGATTGTTGTAAATGCCATCAGGAGCCAGAGGAACCTTAATTTTCAATGGATTGTCTGTCTCATGCTACGGACAGGAAGTTTAATCTTTAAAGCTAGTGTAGGAAACGTTGGCGGACTAGCAACTAGATTTTATCCAACCTAAAAGAAAAATTCTGTCCCGAACAGCGGCAGTGGTTTTGGGCCCAAACCCAGCAGGTCATGTCAGTTTCAGTCGGGTTTGGGAACACAGTCCGAAAAATCAAAATTATTAAAATTATTGTTCAATCATTTTCTTTTCGTTTAATTTCCTTTCGTTTAGTTTTTTGGCTACCTCTTCAGCCTTATCTTATCGCATTTCCTTTTTTAAATGTCATTGTTAATTTAACTGTCAATCCGACCCCTTGCCACAGGTGTATAAA